TAGCTGGAGATATATTTGGGCTTGGCAGTCCGGTTGGTATGAAGGTAATGATTTTAAGGTGCGCATACTTATGGTTATTCCTTGTTCCTACGTCCAAAGAAAAATCGTGAGTTTTGCGGGGGAGGTTAGTTCGTGCCTTTGTCTGCTTGCTTTGCTCCACTTCGCCCGAGGATCCTGTTCAAGTCACTATGGAAAGCACTTGGCTAGAAAATAAAGTTTCTTTTCAAAAAGTATGCGTGTATGGTTTTCAAAGACATAGTAATATGCAAATTAGAAATCAGTTAGATGAACCAGTAACTGTGACGTTATTAGAGACATTGCGACCTCCTTTGCCATAGAAATTTGAGGGTCCTCCTCAAAATTCTACCCCAGTTATCTAAATGACCTTCTGTCTATTCCGTATGTAATGCTGTTGGCTGAACTTGCTTCAGAATTTTGAGGGTCCTCCTCAAAATTCTGCCTCGGTTTTAATTGTAGGGAAAATGGGAATTTTATTGAATTGTGAACGAACCCACAGGGCTGCCTACATATCCCCTCTTAAACGGGAATTAGGTCAAGCGTAGTTCAATTACATCATATGAAGAAATATAAATAATTTACACATAGTATCTTTTGACTGCATCTAAATTGATAGGCTTTGGCCAGATTTCTCCATCCATTTCTGCGAGTAAGAGTGCCCCTCTTGTCAACACTTTGTGATTTATGTAAGGACCTTGCTAGTTAGGTAAAGATTTCCCTTGGCTTCATCTTGATATGGAAAGATCCGCTTCAACACCATCTGCCCCCGTGTGAACTGTCTTGGTTTGACCCTTTTGTTGAAAGATCTGGACATTCTATTCTGATAAAGCTGACCATAAAACACTGTATTCATCCTTTTTCCATCTATGAGGGCTAATTGCTCATAGCAGCTCCTTATCCATTCTGCATCACTGAGTTCGACATCTTGTATGATCCTTAAAGAAAGAATTTCTACCTCGGCGGGAATGATAGCTTCGGTACCATAAACCAACAAATAGGGAGTTGTCCAGGTTGGGAGTTGTCTCTATTGATGTGCGGATATTGGTACGGTATCCCAATAAGGAGAATGGTAACTTCTCGTTCCATTGCTTGTGATTCTCTACCATTTTTCTTAGTATCTTCGTTATGTTCTTGTTGGCAGCCTCCACGGCTTCGTTCATTTGAGGCCTGTATGCTGTGGAGTTTATGTGCTTGATTTTGAAAGTTTCACACACGGATTTCATCAGATCACTGTTGAGATTGGTGGCATTATGAGTGATGATGGACTCGGGAACTCTGAATCGATAAACAATACGATCCCTGACAAAATCTGTGATGACTTTCTTGGTTACCGCTTTGTAGGACGCAACTTCAACCCACTTAGTGAAGTAATTGATAGCCACTAAAATGAACCTGTGCCCATTCGAAGCGGTGGGTTCCATTGGGCCAATGACATCCATTCCCCAGGCAACAAAAGGCCAAGGTGCACTTGTTGCATTGAGTTCGTTTGGCGGCACCCATATCATATCTGCATGTATCTGGCATTGGTGGCATTTCTAGACATACCAGATGCAATTTGTTTCCATAATCATCCAAAAGTATTCGGCCTTGGGTATCTTCTTGGCTAGAGCAAAACCGTTCATATGTGGGCCGCAAGTTCCGTCATGTATTTTCTCGAGCAATTTGGAAGCTTCCTTGGCATCAACACACCTTAATAGTCCTAGTCAGGTGTTCTTCTATACAAAATTCCTCAGCTTTGGAAGAAATGATTGGACATCCTTCGCAGTGTGCGTTTCTAAGTATGGTTCACCTACTTTGGGTACTCTCCTTTTGCCAAATATTCCTTGATGTCGTGGAACCATGGATTTCCTTTTGTTTCTTCTTCGACATGGGCACAGTATGATAGCTGATTGTGGATCCTCACCGAAATGGGATCGATGAAATTCTTGTCTGGATGTTATATCATTGAGGATAGGGTGTCCAATGCGTTTACAAATTCATTCTGGATTCTAGGGACATGTCGGAACTCTATCTTTGTGAGCCTCTTCATCATCTCTTGTACGTGATGTAGATATGGTAGTATCTTGGTATTTTTCGTAGCCCATTCTCCTTGTACCTGGTGCACCAGCAGGTCTGAGTCACCGATTACCAGTAGTTCCTGAACATTCATGTCGACGGCCAAATTGAGCCCTAATATGCAGGCTTCATACTCAACCATATTATTGGTGCAAAGAAACCTGAGTTTTGCGGACACCGATAGTGCTGATCGGTTTTCGATACCAAGACGGCTCTGATACTGACTCCTTTGAAATTTGCAGCTCTGTCGATAAACATTCTCCAGTTGTCGTAGGCTTCAACAATGTCCTCTCCGATGAATGACACTTCTTCGTCAGGAAAATTCATTTCTAGTGGTTCATATTCTCCTCCTACAGAATTCTCGGCAAGATGATCTGCCAACGCTTGTCCTTTGACTGCCTTCTAAGTTACATAGATGTTATCGAACTCACTTAGCAATATTTGCCACTTAGCCATTCCCGGTAGGCATAGGCTTCTGAAAGATGTACTTCAGATGATCTATCCTTGATATGAGGTATGTGGTATAGGCATATAAGTATTGCATCAATTTCTGAGCTTTCCATGTAAGAGCATAGCAGGTGCGTTCCAGCAGAGAGTACCGTGCTTCATAAAATGTGAACTTCTTACTCAAGTAATATATGGCTTGCTCCTTTCTTCCCGTCTCGTCATGTTGTCCCAAAACATAACTGAAAGCCCCATCTAATACAGAGAGGTAGAGTAGCAGTGGTATACCAGGTTCTGGCGGGACTAGGACTGGCGGTGTGGACAAGTATTCCTTGATTTTGTCAAAAGCCTTCTGACAATCCTTGGTCCAACTGGTTGCAGCATCCTTCTTCAATATTTGAAAATTGGTTCACATATTACTATAGACTGTGCTATGAAGCGGCTGATGTAATTAAGGCGTCCCAGGAAACTCATCACGTCCTTCTTGTTCTTCGGTGGTGGTAATTCTTGGATAGCTTTAACCTTTGATGGGTCCAACTAGATTCCTCGGCGGGTGACGATAAATCCCAATAATTTTTCGGCGGGAACCCCGAATGCATATTTTGCGGGTTCACTTTTAAATTGTACCTCCGCAGCCGGTCAAAGAACTTCCTCAAGTCTACTATGTAATCTGTGGCTTTCTTGGATTTGATGATGACGTCGTCAACGTATATCTCTATTTACTTGTATATCATATCATGGAAGATGGTTGTCATGACCCTCATGTAGGTGGCCCCAATATTCTTCAGACCGAATGACATCATTTTGTAGCAATACACTCCCCATGGTGTAATGAAAGCTATTTTCTCTGCGTCATCTTCGCCTATCCAAATCTGATGATAACCCGTGAAGCAATCTATAAAGGATTGGAGTTCATGCTTGGCGCAACTATCGATCAGAATGTGTATATTTGGTAGTGGGAAATCATCCTTGGGACTTGCTCTGTTTAAATCTCGATAGTCAATACATACCCTAACTTTCCCATCTTTCTTTGGAACCGGTACAATGTTGGCTAACTAGGTTGGGTACTCAACTACCCTAAGGACTTTGGCTTTGATCTGCTTAGTGACTTCCTCCTTGATTTCTAGCCTCATGTCTGGTTTGAACTTTCTGAGTTTCTGCTTCACTGGCGGACACATTGGATTGGTAGGCAATTTATGAGCCATTATGGATGTGCTTAGACCGGTCATGTCATCATATGATCCCACAAAAATATCCTCCTATTCTTTCAGAAAACGAGTGTATTCTTTCTTCTCTGACGGTGACAAGTGAATACTTATGCGAGTTTCTTTGATGGTTTCGGAATCTCCCAAATTGACTATCTCAGTTTCGTCCAGGTTAGACTTAGGCTTATTCTCAAAATTCTCAACTTCTCTAATAACTTCCTTAGGTATCAACCTCCTAAGCTGCAGCAATTCGACGGCAAGGGGAAATCCGAAACAACATATAGCGCACTTCGTTGAAACTTGTAACAATGTTGGAACATACAACGATTCTCTTGTCAAACAGCTTGTTCGATCTCTTAAAGGTAATGCATTTGATTGGTACATGGATCTCGAATCTAGTTCCATCAATAGTTTGGAGCAGTTGGAACAAGAGTTTCCTAATCGTTTTTATAGCACAAGACGCATCGTATGTATGACCAAACTTACAAATGCTCATCAATGAAAAGATGAGCCAGTTATTGACTTCATCAATCGCTGGAGGATCTTAAGCCTCAACTGCAAATATCATCTTAGCGAAACTTCTGGCATCGAAATGTGCATTCAAGGCATGCATCAGGGTCTTTGCTATATCTTACAAGGCATAAAGCCCAAAACATTTGAAGAACTAGCAACTCGTGCTCATAATGTAGAACTAAGTATGGCCACAAGTGGAGACCAATGGCTACATGTCTTTGAGCCCTATGATGATGAAGAAGAAGAAGATGGGGTTAAGTTTCTATCCGAAGATGAAACTGAAAAGTCCATACATGGTTCAATTCTCCTTAATGCACGAGCCTAAACTGCAAGTTATAATGCTTCTCGATGCACGAGCCTAAACTGCATGTTGCAATGCTCCTAGACGCATGAGCCTAAGCTGCATGTCATGAAGCTCTTCAAATTTGCGCATAATCTTCAGGTTGCAAAGCTCCTCAAAATACGAGCTTAAAATGCAAATCGCTACGCTCCTTGATGCACGAGCCTAAACTGCATGTTCCTACACTCATGGCCCGCATGAGTCTAAATTCTGTACGGCCCACCCCAAAATAAAATTCCACTAGGTTGAAATCATCTAAAGAGGTGGCCTAGGCAAAAGTTAGGACATAAAAAAAAGATTTGCTAGGATGAAAACCTCGAAATAGGCGGTCTAGGAAAAAGTTAGGACATAAGAAAAAATAAATATAATCACCTATTTTGAACTATGGTATGACTTTATCCTCCTCACCTAGGTATGTAGGCAGCTTAGAGTTTCATTTTGAGTTAAGTCGCATGAGTTTAAAATATACATATTACCCCAATCGTTATTCGAAGGAAGAATGATGGAATATAATTCACTTGATTGGAACTTAAAAATCGGGCATACATGAATTTTGTGCCTTATCAAGGATTGGTGGTTCAATGGGGGCAAGCCTCCATAGCAAATTGGCATCTCCGATGGATGAATGTAGACTTTTAGTAGAAGGCTAAATCTCTAATTTGAAGCCCTCAAGTTCATCGGTCTTCAAGTTGAATTATATAAGCCCTCCAAATTTTCAAGTATGTCGCTCTTCAAGTTAAATTTTGCAAGTCCACCGCCCTTCAAGTTTAATTCTACAAGTCCGCCAAACTTTAAGTTGAAGTATTCAATCCCTCCAAGTCTTTATGTCCATCGGTCTTCAATTTGAAGTCCTCAAATTCGCCGGTTTTCAAGTTGAATTATAAGCCATAAAAGCCTTAAAGCTGAAGTCTTCAAGTCTGCTAATTTTTTAAGTTGAAGTTTAAAAGTCCACTGCTCTTCAAGTTGAAGTATCAAAGTCCACCAAATTTTCAAGTCCGTCAAATTTTCAAATTTTATGGTCTTCAAGTTGAAATCTGCAAGTCCAAGTTGAAGTTTTCTAATTTTCCAATCTTAAGGTGGACATGTTAGTCTCTTTGCACCTTATATTGGTCTCTTTGAGGGTTTGTACTTAAAAGGAACTATATTTTTTCAATATTAAGGTAGACATTGAAGTCCCTTTACACCTTAAGTTGACCTCTTCGCGAGTTTGTCCGAAAAGGAATTATAATTTTTTAATCTTAAGGTGAACGTTTAAGTCCCTTTGCACCTTAAGTTGGCCTCTTCATGAATTTGATCCTTCTATATGATGTCATGAATTTGATACTTCTATATGGTATCATGGATTTGATATTTCTATATGCTGTCATGGATTTGTCCTTCCATATATGCTGTCATAGATTTGTCCTTCCATATACGGTCATGAATTTGTCCTTCCATATGATGTTGAAGATTTGTCCTATTTTTTGCCACAAATTTTTATTTCTATGTGAGTCTCGCCTTGATGATGAAGATATCTCCATTGCCTAAAACAATAAAGAAAGAAGGCACCAAAAATAAAAAATATAAGTACAATAAAGATAGTTACCTGCTAAGGCGTGCCATATTCGAAAATCTCTCCGAGTCAAGTTTCTATCAATAAAAACGGTTTTCAATTCCGACATTCCAACATCGAGATACGAAGGTTTTGGTAAAGCCGTGATAATCTGAAACTGTTGGCGCGTTAGAATGTAGAATCGAATTCAAAAATTCATCTAGAATGATCCTTAAAGTATTTAATTTTGAATTTCGGATATGTTGTAGATCTTGAAATCTAGTTTCTGATAAATTAAACGATTTGCGATTCCAAGGTCTCTATATCAAGATATAAAACTTTTGTTGAAGCCGCGGTAATTTGAAACTGTTGACATGTAGAACGTAGAGCCGACTTCACAAAATCATCAAGAATGTTACTGAAAGTATTTAATTCTGAATTTCTAATATGTTGTAGATCTTGAACTCTAGTTTTAGATAAATCAAACGGTTTATAATTTCGAGGTTCTTACATCAAGATATAAAACTTTTAGTGAAGTCACATAAATCTGAAAAATATAGTGAAGTCACACAAATCTGAAAAATATAAGCATGACAGAAATTGAGGCTAACTTCGAAAAATCACGCAATGATTCTAATTCTAAATTTTGATATGTTATAGAACTAAAAGTCTAGCTTTTATAAAATCAAGCAGACCATGATTTGTACTTTTCTAGAGCAAGATATCAATTTTATACCACAAGAGGTGCTGGTTGTAAAAAGGTGATGAAAATTAAAAAAAGAAGAATGAAGAAATTACCTTCAACTTTTCCAAGCGTCAAAGGCAGATTCGAACAAATTGCGAACACTGTAAATTGATGTTCAACAAAGGAAGAACCTGCAACAATTTATAAATTGTCAAAAGAGGCTATGAAGAATAAATTCTCGATGTGGGATTACTACTCCTAGTTGGAAGTGGTTACTGTAAGACAATGATAGGTTTTCTAATCCTTTTTGGAGATATGCATGTTATGATAATGCAAAACATGATAGAGGGGTAGCAATTGATTCGTAATTTCAAAAGCCTACTCGAGTTAGAAAAGCAGGAAAGCAAGTTCCAATAGGATTCGATGTCCCCGGAAGTACCACTAGTTTGACGCATACATAAAAGCTCGTGTACTTATTCTTTTGGAGTTACAAAGACATACAGAATCTTTATCTGCTAGCATTATAGTTACTGATCATGCAAGATTTGGTTTTGTAAAATTTTGTAGGACAAGAGATTAAATCAAATAATGATAAATGACATATTTGGGCCAACAAATGCATGTGTTGCTTACGTGTTATCTCCAAAGAGATGTTTAGTGAAAACATGTTAATTTCTAAGATTGTGCAGCATCATGGTCGATGATATGGGGATTTGTACCAATGAAAAATGTTATTTTATATTATTCAAGTAACCAACGCACCGAATGATTAAAGGAATCCTAAAGTCCATAAGTGCTTGGCATGATTTGGACGTTACTGTATGAGGGAAAATAAATGATGCCATATCAATACTTCAACCCTTGCCTAAGTTTTAACAAAGTTATCCCACAAAGGTTAGAAGTAAGAAGCATTTGTAGACGATTAAATTTTATTGGATTTAAATTTATAAAATTTATTGGACTATATTTTAAATTAAATACATTTTGTTCCAAATAAATATTATGAGATAATATATTTGGATCAATTCTATAAGTCTAATATAAATGGATCAAATAAATAAGTCTTAATTCATTGGGTTAGCCCATTTAGTTGGGCTACAAATAATGAGCCCACTTCATTAGGCCCAGGAAGTAATCTTCCTAGAAGCCTAATTTGGTGCCACATATCAAAATGACAAGGCATGCCAAATCAAATTAAAAGGCCAATGAAATCATGCCACATGTGCAAGTGACATGTTCTGGCCAATTAAATACGACCTTGTCACTCTTCAATCTGATTGGTCGGAAGGAGTTTGTTCTCATCACAACTCTTCCCTTCCACAACTATAAATTGGGATCTCCATAACTCAAAAAAAGAAGAAGAAGACAGAAGTTATAACAAGAAGCAAGAGAGAGCTCGTGGATCAAGGGCCGCAAATTTCTCTAAAAGTTTCAAGCTTCAAGTAATCAAGTTCAAGTTCAAGAAATCAAGTTCAAGCTCAAGAACGAATAACAAATCAAGATTCAAGGAGTACGGGTTCAAATCAAAGTTCGTGCTAGTTGAATTCAAGATCATCGTTCGTGACAACAAATATCTATTTAAGATCAAGCTCAAAGACCCTTGAATTTATTTACTATTGGAAAGAAGAATCAGAGCGTTCATAGAGATTGTACACTTATATTATTCGAAATCAAATACTACGATTATTGCAATATTTTTCGGTCTCTATTATTTTCCCGACGCAATTTATTATCTACATGGACAAATATTCACTGTAGCAATTTTGAAGAGGGAAGAGTTTTTTCAACATATAAGCAAGTCAATCAATGGTAGAAATGTAAAGAATTTATAATTCTCCAGAAGCAACTTTTTCATGAAAACGAGAAGTAAATATCTAGTCAATATTCTTGGTATGATCAGGACGTGTATACTACGAGAAAGATAAATATTACTACTAATATCATCTGGTATAGATATCAAATTTTTTGGTATCATATAAGATATCAAATATAGATGATAGGCTTACATTCTTGATATACTATCCCGTAAGGTAATGCTAAAGGCGGAAAATATGGAATGTCATCGACAGTAAAGAGATTTATCTTCATTGATCCAATAAACACGATTACAGAGATTTACAATTGCTATCTAAGACTTTTCTTGGTTATATTTACCTCTCCTTTCTCTAGGACAGAAGCTCCCCTTTTCCTGTCTTCTTACCTCCTATATATATTGTCAGTATTCCTTTTATCCAATAGTCCTTAACCAGAATGCCTTTGTCCATTGATTGTACTTCACGTCGCCTCCCTTAAGTATCACGACATTTACTCTACCATACAAGCATTTTGATGACTTGGTCTCAGCGGTAGCCAAGGTGCTCATTGTTATTACACCTTGTGAGTATGACCACGGCTTAGTCGACCTCTTACCATTCCTTTTAGCACCAATCCACGTGTGGTCAAATTTTGACCCATACAGTTAGTCCCTCCGCCTATTGGGGTTGCCTCTTGGCGAGCTCGATGGGCGGACTCTGTTGATTCAAAAATTGGGAGAAATCTGAATGCTTTATGCGGGGGGCGAGAACCTCATAGTAAGGTGGCGTCATGACGTTTCGAGAACCGCATCAGACCGTTATATCAGTTCAAAATTGGACCGTCGCGTTAGTTCAAGATGTCATCAATACCCCCCATGCATCACTATGGCGCACGTTTCCTAGGTATTATGTCGTTTCCCGTGCCCTTTCCGTTTTCTAACTGGCGGTTCTTGGTTTTCCCGCTTAAGGCATTTATACCCCTATAAATAGGGGTGAGCCTCTCATTTGAATGTTATGATTTACAATTGCTTAAGAGAGAATTTCGCAAATCTTCCCCTCTTTCCTTAATCTCTTCACATTTCTGCCTCTGCTAGGATTCGCTGTGAGCATTATCTTTTTCTCTCATCATCTTCGTTTCTTTTGATCAAAGAAAACAAATGGCTAATACTTCTTCCCATTCTGACAGAGCTGTAGGTGATCCGTTGCCGGAGAATGACGTATCCCTGCCCGAAGAGGGAGTGGAAGTGGTGGAAGATGACGTGTTTTCGTTGGTAGATGAGGTGGTTCCCTTCCCGGGGAAGGCGAGGACCGCTTTAACAGCCCCGCCGAAGATGAACCAAAACCCGTTCCTTCCATGATGGATGCTGAGGCGATCAAAACATTTAAAGCCAAATGGGGGATCCTCGATCATGTTGAGACGGTGCCAGCGGATAAGGATATAGTGCATTTACACCGCCCGGGGTACTGTGCGTTTTACGCGTACCCCTTTGTTATTGGGTACAGACTTCCCCTTCCTTCCTTGGTAGTGGATTTCTGCCGCTACTATTAGGTGTGCTCGGCCCAACTCTCTCGGTATGCGTACAAGATCTTCCTTATACCTTATACTCATCAAGTACGCAGAGTTGGTTGGCCGAGGTATATCCTTTGGGCACATGCTCCACCTCTTCGCCCCCCATTTTCTTCGGGGTACGATGATTCATATGCGCCTTCGAGGGACCACGAGTTTGGTGGTGAAGATGGACGATTAAGCAAACCGCCGCTTTTGGGAGAGCTACTTTTATGTCCGAATATGGCACATTGTGTCGAACCCAATAGGGTTTCCTAAAACGCGGAACTTCACTTCTGTGTTTTCCTATTTACTTTATGCAATTTTTCTTGCGACGGTCATCAGTCGTCTCCTTTTAATGACTTCACTAAGGATTTGCTTTTGTTTTTGCAGCCGAGAGACTACCTCCCCCGCTGGTCGCCGATATCCGTGAATGGGGGAGCGTAATTCTCCCCAACATGATGGGATTCGTGAGTGGGTGCCTTTCCATGAGAAGTTTGGGCGCAAGCCTCTTACTGGTGAGTTGGCTCGTCGTGATTTTGCTTTGTTCTTTGCTTCAGTCTCTTTAACTTTGTCGTTATATGATCAAATCACTACTTATTGACAGGTCAGAGGGGAGTGAGAAGGACGATGGCTCTTCCGCTTGCATTCCGTCAACCGGTGCCTTATGCCCGGCCAACACCGAGAACTACTACAGGCAAGGGCGTAGAGAGTCTTGCTGGTTGCCAAATCGCGCCCGCGGTCGAAGCCGTACGCTTGGAGGTTATTCCTCAATTGGAGACTCCAGTCCCTACAGTCCGTTCGTTGGGCAAATCTTCCCGCATTGGTAGTGGAGAGGCCCCGTCGAAGAGACAAAGGGTAGTATTAGAAGGGGCTTCTCTAGCGGAAACATCTTTGAGGAGCGACCCTGCCTCGACGATACCCGAGACAGGCGGTGATTCCAACCGAACGTGGATACGACACCCGTTGCGAGCGTTCAAGGGGCTACTGTGGTGTAGAGACGGAGTTCTGAGGTTGCCGTTACTGTTTCAGGTGGCCCATAGATATCTCGGCAGAACCGCGCCCCTTTTTCGGCCAATGAGAGGGGGAAGGGCATCATGGTTGATGAGTATGAGTCTGACTCCGACATTGACCCTGAGGACTTAAGGATGTTCGAGGAGGGCTTTACCAAGACTGAGGTACGAGCGGAGGGCCCTTCCCGTATACTTGAAATTTCGTCGGATTTCAACCTACTGTAGGACACGGTGGATTTGGTGCCGCAGTTCGATATTCTATGCTTCATCGCTAAAAGCGGAGCTCTTCAAGATGTCAGCGACTTTGGATTATCACGTGGTGTGGCCGCGATGGGCCTAAGGGTGAGTTCCTTTTTGTTTTCTTTGTTTTCTGACCATTATCTTTGCTGACTCCTTTCTTCTCTCTCTTCTTCCTTTTTTTATACTTACATGTTGGAGATTGAGAGTGCTCGTAGGGCCGAGACACATGCCAAGATTTTTCTGAAGATGGTCGAGAAGTATCTGCGGTGTCGCAACAGGTGTCGTAAGATGCACGAGCAGCTTAGATTAGGCTCTAGTACCCAGTTGTCTAGGGAGAAGTTGGAGAAAAGAGATGAGGACATGATGTGGTCTATCCGCAGATGCAGTGACCTTAAGGAGCTACTTCACGCCAAAGATGAGGAGCTTGAGGTGGGCAAAGGGGTTTCCGTAGAGTGCGAGGACCTTCAGGAGAAGGTACTGCCTTTACAAGCTGAGCTTGAGCAAAATGCTGCTAGAGTAGACGCTCTCGGTGCAGAATAGGCGAAGAAGGTGGTCGAGTTGGAAAATAAA